GTGCACAGCTGTTGTACATATTTAGCAGCACAGGTAAATGAAACTTTATATCATTGTAAGTTGGAGCCTTGAATCTTTGTGTAAAAGAAGATTTGTGTTGTCTGGATATTGAACTGGTAGCAGTTGGAATATGCCCATATTACAGAAATTATTATCATTATTACCCTTGACTTTATAAATGTGCTACTGGACAGAACATAACCTTTTAGCAGTATCCCAGCTGTCCCACTAAAGAAAACAGAGCACTAGACATGTATCCATGTATGCCACCAATGCAAACAGTGCCATTTCAATCCCTCCTTTGCATTTCTGACCAGTCTAGTCCAGCTGACCCCAAAGTATCTTCCTCTAGTTAATTGAAAAAACTGTATCCTCAAGAGTTGCTAGGAGGTGAACAAATGAAACTATTGGGGCACTGTAGGAATGCTTTGAGTACCTACTCAACTCAACTTGACTCTTAGGGTTTTCCTTTAAGTGGTACAACCTGTTACCAGGTACTTTTTTTTTTTAGTACCAAGGTTTTTAGGCCAAGGTTCCAAGTGATCCGAAAATATGACATCAATAGACTGCCTGCCACCTATTGGCTAGCCACTGATGTCACTCAAGTCATGAGAGCAATGCCTTCACAAAAATCAAAACCACCATTTAAAAAATAAAATAAAATACAACAAAAACACAAAACAACGAAGTGGTTCCTGAGTCTGACAAAAAGCCATACACCTAGCAGCAGGTATAGCATCGCCTTGATGTGCTCCATTGTTTTGTTGTATTTGTGTCCCGTGCAAATGACTTTATGGACTTTTGCCCGCATTGCTAATAACGACATTAGGTGGTACTCAACTGTAAAATAAAACAACCAAATCAGCGTTGAGTCGAGTCGAGTAGGGAATACTGGAAAAGGGCTATCTGTGAAACACATGAAGAGGACATTACCAGTTTTACTGGATCTCTAACAAAAAATATGAAAGTCCGTGAACACAAACTCATACCAGCTCTGACTGAGAACAACAATCCCTGGATCAAATTCATAGACTCCTACAGGAGGAAGCGGGGGGCTAAATTTGAGCCAATTAGCACAAGGGATTGGTGGAATTTTATTTTATTGTAATTTTTTATTAGTCCTGTATTTATCCAGGTAAAAAACTGATTGAGATTAAAAATCTAGTTTCCAAGAGAGACTTGGCATCATGGCAGCAAAAGTCAAAGTGTGAAATAGCCTGAAATAAATGACTGGGTTTAAGGTGAGAGACAACCAGTGAGCAGCCTAGAGAGCCAATAAGCTAAACAATTTATTAAAAAAAAAAAAAAATCTAACAGGATTAGTTCTGCCTCCTTCCAACCACACACCTCAACTGCATTCAGCGATTTTGACCTTTTCCCCTCAAAGTGCACAGATTGTACCGGAAGGCCAACACCAAAACTGGGGTTGTATACAAGAAGGGAAAGATCCTTCAACATGTGCACTATTGCAGATTTTTTTCACCAGTCTGTTGTAGCAAGTTCTGTAGTCTGCAAGAAGAGCAGCACAGAGGCTGACGTCACCAACAAACTGAAGAAAAGACAACTTTATCAGAAAAGCTGTGCCTTGTGGTTTCTAACAAACTGGATACATTTGATGATGTGGTTGACGTCGCCGAATAAACTGTTTTTCCATCAAGTATAACGCCTAAATTATGCTTCAGCAGGAAATCTATGTCATAACCAGAAACCCCTTTAAACACCACCTTCCACGTACCCTGATGTGCACCTCCTGAGAAATGTAAGGACATGTCAGGTCAACGCAGCCTGCAATAACCGAATAGCACGGAAGGTTGCGGTGAGGGGTTTCCAATTACCTCGCAAGTTACGACGTAGATTTCCGCATAAGTCTAAACTGGGTTTAACTCTCTGAACAACTTACTGGACAGTCAGCAGGGCACTTCCTATAACAGGCTGATATAGCAATGGGGCTACAAGGACAGCTACAGGAAACTTTTCATACCTACTGCAATAACTCTGTACACTGAAGCACATCTGTTTGGCAGATAATCATCTGTTCTTTCAACCAAGCCTCAAGTGTGATTTCTCGTTTGTATACAAAAAGCTCCCTACTTTGGGAAACTTTCTTTTGCAGCCTTTTTATTGTTCCTGTTAAACTAGTCAGTATATTCCCTCTGATACAAAATGTCTTCCTTGTTTATACTCCACACATCAGCACTCAGACATATACAGATTGCTGAAGCAACACATTTTAGCATTAGGCCTCAACAGTCTGACTATTTCATACTGCTTTCACTACTACAAACATGTGTTTTCCTGATCCTCTGGTTCCACCTAGTCACTAGAGTAATGGGGAGATGTGAATATTATACTTGCATGGTTCTGTATGTCTGAAATAATTAAAAAAACAAAACAAAAAAAACAAAAACCCCCCACACACACACACACAACTAACATATGGACCGATACATCTATTTATTTATTTTTTAATAATCAACCATCTTTATCCAGCTCTTAAAAGTCCTGTTGTATTATTCTGTCCAGAACAATGAATGATGTGTCCATCTATATTTAAGGATCTGACAATTCACTCACAAATAAAGATCTTTAAGCCTCTGAATCTGCTGTATTTCAGTAGAACAAAATGTTTTGTGGCTGGAATACATTTTTTAAACTGTCATTTGACATGATTTGTTACCAGGACAACAAAACAAAGAGAGCTGTCCACACCATTTCATCTAAAACTTGCATGTTTTCTAATCTTATTCAAGACGGTTTGGTACCTTGATAGCACCGAACAACTAGTAAAACACACTTTTGTGGAGATAGTATAGGGCTGTTTTTTCTCCAACTGCCATGAAAATAGGGTAAATATTTACTGAGGATATTTAAAAGATTGGTTATGATTGTTTGTAGTTTATTTGCTCCCATCTCAGTTTCTTTTACGTGAGGTTGCTATCAATTAAATAATTTCTTATGAACATTCACTCCGAAAGTGGTATCAGTGATCATTGGCTGCAGGCTAAAAACATGTCCTTGAGGCCATAGTAGGTTTGAAATGAATTGGGTTTTGTAAGCGCTTACACAACCTAACTAAAATGATGGTTATGGGTGGTTCTATGCTTTCTGAAAGACTACAGAAGATGGCTAAATTAAAAATGTACATGTAAGTTTTACAAAACAAATTCAGACAGTTCTCAGATGCTGTTAGCCGATCCAACAAACACTGTTTCAAAGCACATTAAAGTCTTTACACCTTTTACTTTCACAAGCCTGTTATGAATGCATCTGTGGACTCCTCTTAGTCTCAGTAATTCCAAGCATGTCCCTTTTCAGCCTCCTGTGTTTAACTTTAGATAAACAGCCTGTTCATTTCATACAATCCCTGCTCTCTCCAAATATGAACTTGAGAGACATGAACTGTTAACATAGGATACATGTCTGTAGCTTTGCAGTACAGATGCAAAAGGGAGGATATTTCAAGTCCTAAACTTTACACTCGATTTCCTTGTAATAAGGCTGTTTGACAAGGAGAGGGGTCAGAGGGCATCAGACTGACAAAATAATAATGCAACCCCGTAGTGTTTCTGAGGATTTGGTATGGCTCGTCACCCTAAAATGCATCCAACTTAACTAGTTTTTTAGCCTGACATCAATTAAATATGCTCGTGGATGTATCTAGAAATGTAAAATTGAACTCTGCTCTGTGTATTGTCAGAGAGACTGAGATTCCCATAATGAAATAAAATATAGCAATTTTTCTTTTTCTTTTAAATTCTTCTTTGAAATCTGTTCAGTATCACATGCATTGTTCTTAGCACATATGAAATTCCTTAAGAATGTCAGAAAATATATCTTAGTATGGTTAAAGCAGGGATCCAACACATTGCAATGCCTCCATTTTAAAACTTTAAAAAGTCAAGTTAAAACAAGAACAGAGTAAGTCGAGGCTTATGTATGTACAAATGTATGAGTTTTAAAACTACGAAAAGGGAAAATGGAAAAAAGAACTCATTTTCCTTATCCCCACCCCACGCAAAAAGAGTAAATCCTTAATGTTCTCATCTATTTATTTATTTATTTTTAAATCGGAGACCTCTGCACAGCTTCTTCATCCTAGTAGCCAGAGTTAAAAAGAAATGCAGCGACAACACCAAACAGCAGAGAGCAGGAGGAGAATGTGCTAATCATTTAGCTCTCTGCACCCCACCCCCACCTTTTTCCCTTAATACCAAATGGTAAGTCCTCAGAGCGAAAGCTGAAAACAGGAAATCTGCAGAGCTCTCACCTCCCACAGGGGGAGTAAATTAATTAGCATGACTGACAAAGACGTGAGATCACCTCGAGCTATGCGTTCAATTAACATGACAACTACATAGTGGTCCTTTGAGTCCAACACAAGCACCCCTTTTTACGAAGACTAGGAGCTGCAAGAACACACGTCAACAAGCTGAAAGAGGACAAAGAGTGCTTAAGTGGTCACAGATACTTACGGGAGACCCCCCCCCACCCCCCTACCAATCCCACACACACACACACACACACACACACACGCTTTCCATTTAAAATCGTGAAACGTGTATACTTAAAAAAATACAAATACACAACTACAAAATTCAACCAGCTTAAAGGGCAAAGTTCAAAAGGATTAAAGGAGAGGATGTATAAAGAGATTTAGAGGAGAATCTTCGTTATATTTACTGTGTGTGTCCAAGTTTGGGTAAAGTAGGAAATTTAAGCGGTAGTAAGCCATCCGTGCTCTCTGCGAAAATATTGATATTCTCTTTAAACAACGGAAACTCCATTTCTAAACAGATCTCTTAACTCGGACTGCAAAAGCGGTCAACAAAATCTATTGTGTGTGGAGGAGTGGAAACAACGTGGAAACATCACAAACTGTTTTTCAAGCCAGAGCCTAAATGTGTAGGACAAAATCTTTACCTACTGGCCGGTCTTTATGTTGTGTAGCCCATCACCTCTCACCTTAATCCAAATTCTTTTGGAGTCTGAAAGAAACTCACCTTCACATTTCAGACTGGGCGACAACACAAGTATCCAGAGCAAACTCCTTAGGAAGGTGACCATGGCGTACGTTTTCACTAAGGAAACTTTACAACAAGACTGATAACTTTATTTTTCCCACTGTTTGAGCCGATGCTCTTCTTTTGACTTCTCGTTTTCTGTCCACAGTCGTAGCTGGAGAGAAAGCTTACTTTCCAAATCGTCAGACACGAAGGTGCAGGACAGATGCGGGTTCGGAGAGGGAATCAGGCGGTCGTTCATCCCATTTACAGTCCACAAGAGAGACGGGCTGAGCGGCTGCCTCTGAGCTGCTAGTCCTGCGTTGGCCTCTGTCCTCGCGTTGAAATGCGAGCAGTGACGCGCGCATGAAGTGCAATATGGCAAACCACGTTTTAGGAAGAGTGCACCATCTAGAGACAGAACCCAAGAATCCTAACAACCAGACTGCCAGATCTGCAAACCTTATCCTGTTAATAGCCTGTTTACAAATAAAAACATTAACACGAGGAATCTAGAGTCTGCAGAGCTCATTTTGGGAAAGCAAATATATTAGACAGCGTAGCGTTCAGACCACACCTTTGCTTGTTACAACTGCTGGACAGAACAGGTTAAAAAAAATCTGGTAAGTATTTCATGGTTCTATCATTTTGCATTATTTTAACTCTATTTTATAGTTTGGCATCTGAGTTATTAGTAGTAGTTTCTTGGTCAAGTCACAGTTATTGTCACTGTAGTTCCTGACTTCTCCTTTAGGTCATTAGGTCTCACTTCTGTTCTTTGTTCTTGTCATTTCTAATATTCATATTTGTGGATTTTCTTTGTTTCAGTTGTCAGGTTCTGTTTATTTCCTTGTGTCATCCTGCCTCCCCTTTGCCTTGTGAAGTCTCAATCACATTTTTAGTTATTTTCGTCTCATGTGTTTCATGTTTAGCTTTGGTTCCTCGGTTTTGTCTTTCTTAACTGTTACCAGCTGTTTTTCCACTGGCTTCCTGACCACTTGTTATCCCATACTTGTATGTATGGTTTCACGTTCCCTTTGTTTTTTGTTATGTCCTCCCTCATGTTGTGAACTCCATGCATCTGTATTGATTCCACACATCTCAGTAGTGATGGCAGAGATAGAACATTATTTTGAAACATTTTAAACACATCACTTATTACATATGGTGACCAAATAAATGTGATTAAAAAACATTGCACTCAATAAACTGTAATGTTTTTGTGTGTCTTGTGTCTTTTTGTCTCTAACCTTTGTGTTGGTTTATAGTATTATTTCTATGGATGGATATTTTATTTGAACCAGTCAGTATTTGTATGGGGCTCTTCTATATATTTGAGTATTTTTATTAAGAAAGACAACTGTTCAACAGTACTCAAGCTGAGAAGGTTTCATGTCTTGCTCTCTCCTGTTTTGGAGAATATTCTTTCACAGGGGGACTGATGTGGCTGGAGTAGAAAGCTATGTCTTGACCAGGTGGAATAGATGAGAGAATATGGTGGCATGCTGGGTTCAGTAATCTAGAGGGTTATCTCCTCTTGGTAGATATGAGGCTGAGGGATAGCGCTGAACCTCAACAGAAGCATCAGCAGTAAGACTCTGTTTTTGGTTGGTTTCATCTACCCTGCGGTCAAAAACATCCCACAGCCTCTCTTGATGATGTTCACTTGCCTCTTGTACTGTAGTGGCTGATTTTGATGGTACACAAGCACTTGTTTGCGCTTGAGAAGTTGACTGTTTCTAGGTTAGCACTGTTGAAAGGAGTCAAAGTTGTTTTCAGGGAGGACAAGGCTGCTGCAGCTCGTTCACAGGCGCTGAAACCTATTTAATCTGCTGTTCTCGTCTCAACTTCCTGTAGGAGTTTCATCACAGGTTTTCCCATTTGCTCCTGAATGTCTAATAGCTTCTGCTTAGCAGTGGTACTAGATGCAATATATCAGTTCAAGGGTTTCTTAAATGGATTTTTTCACAAACAAATTCAGTGTGTGAGCAAAATAAGGCATGTGTCACACTTGTAAAAGTTGTGCATAGGCTATCATGTTGAGCACATCATCAGTGATTTAACATGTAACCTCGTTCTGTATTCCCCCCCCCACATGAATGCAGAAGAACAACTTTGGCTTCCTTCAAATGCTCAGTGGTGTGCATCACCGAATATGTTAATTGAGGTCCACATATACATTACCAGCCAAACAATTTAGAACACCCCCATTTTTCAAGCAGGGGTGACGTGGTAGTGCAAGTGGCCCCTGGGCCTCAAGTTTGAGACCCCTGATGTAGAGGAAGTGGCTGATGATTGTGCCAGTAGTCACTATCTATAGCCAGTCTTGTCAGGGATGTCACTTACGCTCAGGCCTATGCAGAACAGCAGTGGGGACTGAGCATCTCCTGGGTAAATCTAACACTTGTGCTATTGTGCTAACTAGTGTTTTTCGCCACATCCCCACTGATTTCCTGATGAAGGATCTTAAGGGCTTGTTGATCTTATACAGTTCTAGGCACTCCAGAGTTCATGTGTGAGTCACAGACTTTCTTGTAAGCAATCCAAGAAATGTTTTGCCCCTCTGTTTTTTCTGTTAATTCCTTTTTGTGCTCCGCTCATGTGTTGAGTCATATGCCTATTCATCTTAGCCGCTATGATGTCTGAAAGAGCTCCTACTGAGTCAGGTTATTGGCTGGTATGTAACTAACTGCACTCCACTCATGGGAGTGCAGTTAGCTTCTTTAGATAGGCGTGAATCATATCAGGGCCTAGTGCTGACCAACTCTTCATGCTTCAGACCCTTTCTTGGATGTCTGGCATTGTTCAGAGAGGTTGCTGTTATGATCTGCTCTAAGATCTGCAAGCCACTGAACATTAATGTTATGGATTGCATCCTTCCGTCATATGCTTTTCCAGTATTGCTCTGTCACAAGCCTTGGTCAGGCTGCTGTTCTCATATTGTTCAGCGTCACCACGTTGGATGTAGGTCAATGATGATCTGGGGATGCATCCCCCCCCCCCCCCCCCCCCCAATGTAGTAAATGGTAAATGGACTAGTTCTTATGTAAAGCTTTTCTACTCTATCTGAGAACTTAAAGCGCTTTACACAACTTGCCTCACTCACCCATTCACACAAGCAGTTTTTTCTATGCTTTGTCTAAGTGCTTTCTATCTAACATTCACATGCATTCATACTCTGATGGATGCATCAGAGAGACTAGGGATTAGTATCTGGCCCAAGGATTTTTGGCATGCAGACTGGGGCACACGGGGATGAAATCACCAACCTTTTGGATAGTTGGTGAACTACAGCCACCTCAGGATTATGGCAGGAATATGCAGGCAGTCCCTGGAGTATGAAGGAATTGATATCATGCATGATATCAGATAGTTAATCCAATAGCTAATATAATAGCTAATCCATGAGCTAACTGGAAAAGGAAAAGAGAGTAGAATTTTAAATGTCAGAAATAAATCTTTGATTTTTGAAAAAAATTACTATATTTCTCTTTTTTAAATTGTGTTTGGAAAAACAATTTTGAACACCTGTTTTTTTTTAATTTGGAATTCAAAAATGGTTTTTGAAATGAGGTTTTTATTGAGAGTTTTTTACTGGTATATGGGCTCTGAATAGCCACTTGAAGTGTTCACTTCACAGGAGTACTTTACTCCCTGGTATAACTCACAAACTCACGCCTTAAAGCAGCAGAGGTGGCAAAACATTGACAGATACAGATACTTTTGTCAAAAAAATACTCTGGTAAAAGTTGATTCAATTACTTTAGTTAAGTAAAAATGCAAACACCAGGCTCTGAAATTTACTCTAAGTAAGAAAGTAAAGTAAGAAAGTAAAAAATAGTTCTTTTAAGGATGTTTCTACCAGCAATTTTTGTGAAAAGCTAACTCAACCTTGTGTTATATAAATGCAATGAAAGTGTGGCGGGCTGTGCTTTGTGGCTCAGCTGCAGGGAAGGGGTGGAGCAGCGGGTTAAGGGTGTGGTGTCAGGGGAGGCCGAACCACATAGCTGTCCTCCATCACCAGGTTATGCCTATTTCAGTGACTGAATCTACGCATCATCAGCTTAAATTCAAATGAATCCCTGCTATCCATTATATAACCCAGAAACACCGCATCCATAGTACACTAGTATAACACACTGTTCTTTACTTTAAATTGCAGTTACATCACAAAACTGAAAGCTAACCTGTTTATACTGCATTAAACTGCAGAGTATTTTCATGCAACCGTTCAATAACAAACAGTTTGTTATATATTAGTGTGTGTGTGTTGTCTCTAGTAGATACACTGTGCAACAAACTTCACACAATATGATATTTGCTGATATTTGTTGAGCAGACAGAAACATTGCATTTGATATTACCTGCCATGTTACTTCCTTTATGTTCCTCTTTTTTGGAACAAACTAAATGCTGGAGTCATTTTGCTATCTGGGTATACATTAAATATATGATTTTTTTCTCTTCTCTTTAGGCTCAATTCAGTCTGATGTTCTAAGGTCTGCAGTCATGTTAAATAATAATAATGCCTTTTAAATGTCTCAAATCAAAAGTAACAAGCCTGTTTTGAAAATTTAAGGAAAAGAAAATACAGATATTTTTGTTAAATTGTAGGGAGTAAAAGTAAAAAGTTGTTAGAACAATAAATGTTGAGGTAAAGTACAGATAGCTAGGGATGGGAACAGAGTACTGGTTCTTGTAGAGAATCAGTTCCCAGTGGTTCACTTCCTTGGAATTGTTTGTTCCTGTCAATCGCCCTTATTGGTTTTACTTGCACTTGCAGCTGATTTCTGTCATGGTCTGGTGAGTCACAGTATTTTTCCACACCGTCTGCTCTCCTTTTCAGGGCGGAGCAGTCATCGCTCGCCCAAGTATAACCACCTGGAACTGAATTTGAGCTGTATTTAAGACCAGTGTTCTCCACCAGCCTTTGCTAGACTGTCTGCTAACCTAAGTTAGTTCATGGCTTCATGTGTCTCGTGTTTATTCATAGTTTTCATACCTACCTTTGCTCTCATCTTCTCAGGTGTTCCCTGGAAAATCATTCATCCTCGCAATTTAATTATTCAAACTTGCTTTAATAAATAATAATAAAAAGAGGAAGTGTTTTACTGGTGATTCCTCAAGGTGGATAAACAAACACATGAACCAAATATCTCTAGAAACATCCCGTCTCAGAATTAAAAATAAATATGCTAATGCTAATAAAAACGATTTTATTACTTCTAGGGTGAATTATTGTAATTCGTTATTATCAGGTTGTTCTAAAAGTTCTCTGAAGAGCCTCGAGCCAGAAAAGTTACAGGACATTTCTATTGGATTCCTTTTATTGGCTCCCTGTTAAATCAAGAATTTAAAAATCCTCCTTACTTACAAGGTCTTGAACAATCAGGCCCAATCTTAGCTTTAAAATCATAGTACCATATCACCCTAACGAAGCAGTTTGCTCTCAGACTGCAGGTTTACTTGTGGTTCCTGGAGTATTTAAAAGTAGAATGAGAGCAGAGCATACAGCTTTCAGCCCCCTCTTCTATGGAACCAGCTCCCAGCTTGGATTTGGGAGGCAGACACTATCTCTATTTTTAATATTAGGCTTAAAATGTTCCTTTTCAATAAAGCATATTAATTAGGGCTGGATCAGATAAACTCTGAACGAGGGATAATAAATCACATTTAGGCAGATGTTGTTGTGATTTGGCACTTTATAAATAAAACCAAATGGAACTAAAATGGTTGCACAATTGAGAAAGGTGAAATATTGTATAAAGAAACCATAAACATGTGAGAAGACATCTAAAAATAAATGTTCACAGGTAGAAACAACAGCCAGTCAGTTGTTTTATCTGAAATATTTCAATTCAGCACATCAAAATCTTTTAGTAGTTGGACACTGTGTCTTCAGTGTTGCTATTTTCTGAAAAACTGTTGAATACTGTTATTAGCAATAAGAACTCAGTTTCTACTCCAGTCTTCTATGGATGTCCTCTCTGTGACCTCAGTTTGGGCCTTGAGAAAACTCAAAGCTAGTATTTTCACATGTCACATCGAGTTATATGCTGGACTCCAGGCAACATCGAGATTTCTCTTTGAAAACAAAGAGCTTTCCAAAATCTGTTATGCGTAATCATAAACTAAACAATGCAATCATCTCAATTCTCTTGAAAATGATCCAAGGTGTAAAAATCTGTATTTATTTGTTACAAAAGTGGAACAACTGTGCACAGTTCAAGTAGGAGTAGACTGCAGACACAAATCAATCAAAAAGTACAACAGGCTTTTTTGGTCATTAAATAGAAAGGCAACAAGTCATTTGTTTTGTGGAAATCAACTTTAGTTCTAACTGAAAATGTTCTCTAATAGTGTTTGGGGGGCATTTTTACTCAGAGCAGAAAGGCCCACACTAACTTTCAACATGTAGAACATATGACACAATATTAATAAGGAAGAAAATTAATCATTAACATTCATTCATTAGTAGAGATCTGACGAGTCGGTCCGCATCTTGCGGATCAAGCTGTTGTTTTACCCAACCAGTGGTGTAGACTTCTGTTAAAGCTCCAGTGATGTCTGCTAACTTATGAGGAGTGCTGAAGCTGCCTCTCTGATACAAGCCACAGCCTTCTGGATGTCTTCCTCTGTTTGTTCAATGGTGACCACCACTCTGATACTGGAGACACACAGGTGGAGCAGTGAGACACACTGAGACTGTGTAAAGGTAATGTTATTTACACAAATTATTTCAATCAAATGTTTGAATGCTTCAAACAAAATCACCCTCAAATGAAACTTTAACCCATCAAATAATAAAGCACGTACAACCCCAACGGGTCATGGCAGATGGCTACCCCACGCTAAACCTGGTCCACCGCCAAAAAAGCTATGGACCATTGAGATACAAATGCATTAAAGTACTAAACAATGTTAAACCCCATGACAGAACTAATAATGTGCCAGGTGCATAGAAATGTAGGGTCTTTTACCTGGGAGGTGGAAGAAAGCGCTCCTCTTTTTCCAGACACCGAGCTAGGGTCAGAGCCACGTGTCTTTCCATACACTAAGACAGAAATCATGGGAACTCGATGAGAAACTAAACATATTTTATACAGTATTCCATCACGTGATCGATGGGAACTCGAAAGTGAATTGTAAGAATGTTTTGGGCATAAGACAATACAGGTGCTAAAAACACTGTGTACTACTGATCAAATGATGAAAGCACTATGCAGTCGCATCCTATTACAATGTAGTCCCAGTCTTAACCATATACCATACTATTCACACAAGTAAATGGTAAATGGACTGATTCTTATATAGCACTTTTCTACTCTCCCGGAGTACTCAAAGCGCTCTATACACCGTGCCTCATTCACCCATTCACACCCACTCATACAAGCACTTCTAAACACTGTTGGCCTTTAAAAAAACAAAAAAAAAACAAAACTATATTTGTGAAGTTATGGTACCATCTTGCTGTCATCTAAAATAATGTGCCAATGACATGTCCATACTTTTGCGTTTTGATGGGGACGCCCCTTAAACTTAACCCCATTGGGGATTCAGTGTAAGAAGGTAGTTACAGTGAATTGTTTCATTGTTTCTTGTGTATTTGTGCCTTAGTGGCAGGTTTTACAGTGAAAATTGTTTTCTGCAACAACCTGACTTGTTGTCTGCAAAATGCACACAAGTACAGGGTACTTGCGCCTTATTCGCAGGTCGTGTTATAAAGTGTTACCGGATTTCATCTCGACTTTGACACTCTGTCTGAAGTTATATATGAAATCCCACAGAGGTCTCCAAAAACTTTAAATAACAGTTTCAGTGTGCGTCTGATTGAATCATCTGGTACTGTTAGACTTACATAATCGACAACTGAACGGAGCTGCTTCATGTCAGATTCCCTGGAACCAGAACTTCTCTCTAGCTCCAAGTGAAGAGCTGGGGCCACTGGAACTCCAGCTAACTTTAGACCTGGCGTTCTGTTTCACATAGAAAATAAAGCAAACATATACCAAAACACAATTTATTATGGACACTGTAAAGGAAGACAAAGCCAGAGCATAATTTGAATGTAAGCCTATGTGTTTCCTCTATGTGTGAAAGGCTGTAGTGTCTGGGGATGCAAATAATGATGCTGAATCAGAAACCTGATGTGGAGGGACACCTCCCCCACCTACAGAAGGAAAAAAAGAAATCATCATAAACACAAACATACCCTTGTAAAGCGTTGTAGACATGTTTGCACTTTTCTCTGAGGACTCGAAAAACATCTGCAAAACAGAAGAAATTCTTTTTACAAAAATTCTAATAAAACATGCTTCCTAATGAGCAAGAAGTAGAAATGGAATGCTCAATCTCCAAGAACAGGTTATCAGATCAGATAATGTATTTTTCCGGAGCTGGAGTGGATGAGAACAGATTGTGTACCTGGGTCCTCCTCCAAGATGTTGAGAGCCTCGATAGCAGCAGCAGCCAGCATGGGAGGCAGAGAGGCAGAGAAACAGTAGCCTTGACCTGAGAGACGCTACAAAATACATTAAAAAAAAATTTTTTTAAAAAAAGTTTTACTAAATCATATCTTCATGATTAACGTGCTAAAATTGATCACCTTAAAAATACCTATCGATTAATGGAATAACAAACCAGCAGTTCTGGCCCATATCAGTATAATTTCAGCTTACGTTTCCCCAGATTCACTTCACTCAGCTAGGTGTAATGACTGAGGTCTGAGTTTACAGTTAGGCCTAGAAACTGTTGGCACCTTATTAAATGTGTCTTTAAACATTTCCCAAAAGATTTGAGAACACATCCACAATGAAAGTAGTTTACTTTTGTTTCATATTAAAATAATTTAGATACCATCCAAGAAAAGTACAGAGCATTATGCAATAATAATTATGCACTCATTATAAATGTTCATATTTTCTATCATAAAATTCGACCAATTGAGATGGAATGAGAGGAGAGACACCATCCTGTTCTCGGTGCTCGCTTCAAAAGCCTGCATCTCTACTTCACCTATTAAGACAGCAAAGCTTCATAATAGAAGAGTTCTGGTGCTTAACCGGCCTTCTTGCAGTCCAGACTTTTCACCAATTAAAAACACTTCGCAAAGTCACAGCAACTGGTCTCCTCAGTTCACAGACATTTGTGGCGCTGCTACACAGTAGGGGTGATGTGGGCCGCGAGTTTGAGACCCCTACTCTATAAAATACGATTAAAATATGGGTCAATGAGATTTGCAAATCATTGCATTCTGTTTTTATTTAAATTGTACTTCAGTATAAAATGTAACTAGGCGTGTAAATAAGTGAAACGTTACAAAAAAGCAACAGATATATACTAGATATAATGATTTGTCAAGCATGGGATTAATCACTAATCTTGACAACGACATGTAAAAATGCTGGCTGATTATCTGATGATGCATTACAAGACAGACTCCCAACACGGCTGTTACAGTACCTGGTGGTCGATGACAAAGGAGCGGCCGCAGCAGAAACCTCCGATGGAAGCCAGAGCATTTTCCATGTTAGCACTTATCAGGTCAATGTCATCTATCTGCAAGAAACACAGTTTTTTTTCATTTTGCTAAGATAGATTTAAAATGAAGCAATCAAAGTGCAATTTAATGACAAACTGTCATATTTGTTTTAAAAAGTTAAATAAAAACAGATTTTCTTCATTTTTGTCACTACAAATTTCACTTTAAGTATTCTACACATTTTATTTTTGCATCATTGTGAAATAAAACTATACACCACTCAAAACTGTCACTAGCTGTCTTTTGCAATGTGAAGTTTATTATTAGTCCCTCTGCAAAATACAACAAAATAAAAGTTTGTGTTATATTTTAACAAGTCAATTCTGAGCAACTGATGCATCTATTGATCTGTCGTGATTCACTCTCTTTTCTTACCACTAAAATGAAAGTTTGAGACTTTTATCTTTAATAGCTTTTGAGACATTCGTGTTCAAACATTGCCTCAGATTTCAATGTGGGAGGAAACTGCCTGAAAGTAGGCTGACAGAACATTTTTCAAAACTGCTCTGTCAACTGCACACACACGCACGCACACCAGATACTTGGACCACAACAGTTTTATGGCAATCAGAAAATGGTTGAGCAGAAGGCCCACGTTAGATTCACTAATCTAAATGAAGCAGGCTATCATTAGACCTAGACAAACATCTACAGGCCTACTAAAGAAAGTTCAGAAGCTTTAAGCGTGGCTGTAACCGACTGGTACACCACGGTACGCCAAAGTGCTAGAAGACAGCTAAAATGGATGGCTGCATAACGTTTCCCTTTGCAAGCAAAACCCCTTCATAACATACAGCCAAGTCAAGAATACTGGCGAAGAAGAGGTCCACATAAATGAGGAGACACACATTTCTTTCCTTTCTTTTTTTTCGTTAGTGCAAATCACTAGTCTGCTAACCAAAGATTCAGATATTGCCATTAATAAAAATGAGTCCGAAAGGATTGTGCATTTGTGCAAGCTCAATGTAATGGTAAATCTTACAAAGCTTTACAACAAATAAAGTTCAGCATTTGATCGTGTCCATAGATTCCAGACGTTACATAGCCATTGTCTGCAAAGAAACCTTCTATTTTATTTATATTTCAATCACTTTTATTTATTTGATTGCATCAGCTGACCTAGACTAGTTTGACTCTGGTAAAGCTACCAAGAGAGAAAGATAATAACACATTTTGAATCAGCTGTTAAACTGTTTACTGCCAGTATTAAGTATTTTTGCATTTCAAGCTAAACTACTCACATTGACCCCAAAGTGTTCTGTGACTCCTCGGCCATGGTCTCCCAAAACACCAAATGACATGCTCTCCTCAAGAAAGATCCGCACCTTGTATTTGTACTTGAGTTTTACCTGGAAGTTAGAAAAACATAAAAAACAAAACATAAAGTCAATAAATGGCAAAAGTATCTACCGGTATGTGTACACTATCTGGTATAATCAAGAATCAAACGAGTGGTGAATGATTTAGTCTACTGTAGTAGACGGACATCAGCTCAACTACAGAAGGTGAACGATGTTAAGCCATAATATTTGCCTGTGCTTTGGTGGTTTTTTTTAACTTTTTTCTGCAAAACAAACAAAATTAAATTGGAAACAAAATTGTTTTCCATTTACCAGTTCAGGCAGAGGACAGATATCTGCAGTGTTGATGTAGAGCCCCTCCACTACAATGAACTTCCGGGTCACTCGAGCTTTGCGAGGATTCTGCAAGAGAAACATTCTTATTTGGAGATTTTTTAAAAACCCAATGAAAATAGCGAGAATGTAGAAGCATTTAACATCCTGTACCACCATTAAAGCACATTTGTGACACTTGAGTTTCTCAAACGGTCCTAACCTTCAGGTCCTCTAGCTCCTGCTCCTTAAGCAACCTCTCCAAGTCCTCCATGTCATTGTGTTTGAAGTACTTGATTAAGCTGCGGGATGCCTGAAGACCTTTTTGTATAGCGAAACAGGCTGCTTCATCTCTGAAAGGAAACAAAAGACAAAACATTAAACTATGGAACCAAAATATCACACACACTTGGAGTCAGTCAGACTTACACATTTGCAGGCAGGTAAATCAGTCTGTGCAAACAAAATCTGACTGATAATCACTTCATCCAGTCCATCAACATGTCTATGAAACCCCACCCCTACAAGACTCCTCAAACAATTCTTAACAGTAATTACTGCCTTTCAGTATTATCAGTTTCTTTTTAATAACAGGTTAAATATTACAGGCTTTTAATGTGGTTAAACCATTACTTAAAAAGCTCTTACATAATCCAGCTTATTCAAATATAGATCAATTTCACAGACCAAAACCTAGTGAAGCTTAATAATCGTCTTATGGCCTCTGGCAGTGGCCTGAAAACGGCTTGTCCTGTTACACCTCAGTGCCGCATTCAACCGTTGATCACAACAGTTTACAGAGACTAGAATACACTGTTAGCTAAAAAGGCAAAACACTGTGCTGTTGTCTGACAGATTAACATTTGTACATTTAAAGAAGAAGTCTCCTTCACATACAGAAGTTAGTCTTGGAGTTCTACAGAAAACTTTATGTTAGACATGCTTTTCTTAGGCAATTTATTTAAAAAACAATTTACACATTTCTGTTGCTGTACAGATGATACCCAGTTATTATCATCTAAAATGTTATCCAAAAGTTTTGAGCAGCCCATGATTTGAATGATTTGACTTTTTTTTTTTTAAATTATTTTGTTTGATCATATTAGTTCCTCAAAAAGCCCACCCTCGGCCTGGCGGTAATTATTCATTTTTTCATCTAAAAACACTCCTCTTTTATTGATTGACCAGTTACATCTAGCTCTGGCTCATGTTTACGTGTAACTAGTTTCTGTGGATGGTATTACACTGACCTCCAGTAACACTTTGAGGAGTCTTAGGGGTGTTTTCTTGTCTAGGTGTTCTTCCATATTCACATTAAACTAGTATGTAGGAGACTGCTCTAACACCTCTATTTAAAGCTTTCATTTGAATCACAATGTCACAGTAAGGGTACTAACATGGACTAGAAAGACACCTTAGACATGTTTCCTATTTTAGTTTCTTTTTGAGTCCCTGTTAAATCCAGAACTTAAAATCTCTGTCCTCACAAAGGCCACATAAAATAAACAAAACTAAAGCTAACTGAAGATTGGTTTAATTGAGTGAGGGGTGTTATATTGGTATACATATTATGAGAAACAACACTCACACAAAGATGATGTCACCCCTCTTGGAGTAGGCAGGTATTGCACTAGCAATAGTGGCAAAGCCATATGAATAAAGAATGGCCTCTTCAGTTTTCATGAATTTGGAGAGACGACTTTCCAGCTCCAGGTGAACATCTGGGGGCAAGGAAACATAACATTAGTTACTAATTGGTTACATTTTTTAGATGTCACTTACCATTACCTTTAGTATTTCTGAGTTTTTAGTGGATGTGGTTTAATCAGAGGTGAAAAACTACTGCACTTTGAAAGAAAGACTGTCAAGACACCAAACAACAGTACGATTTTAAATATTTGTGCTTGACTGAGAAAAGTCTCAGTTCATCACTTAGCATTAGATACATTCACTTGCTTATCCCTTGACAGCTTAACAAGGCTCATTAAAAAATACGATAAGGCTGTCTATCCCATTTATCATGGCAGAAAGACTTAAGGATAATGACATAATTATAATACCAAGAGAAAATCTGAGAAACTGGAAAACTCCAGTGAACTTAATAAGATATAGTTGGATATATAGTTGCGCGAGTGACTCAAACTATGGTTTGAGTGAATGTTTCTTGGTGTGTGAAAGAAGTTGCTGCGGTGATGGAAAGTAAATGTCCATACTAAGGTAGAATGAGTAGGACTATTGGTATTTGCTTTACTACTGTGGTTTCACTAATTCATTTGAATTAACTTGTTGCATGATCTGATGATTGAGTCATTAGGTCTTTTTCCAAAATTATCCTCCTTGTATTATCCCTAGACGGCTGGAATTTCGATTGCAAATCAACAGCTAACATATAAATGCTTAAGCTAACATAACGTAACTAATGTCATGCCCCGTAGTAATTAGGCTACTCAGCAGCCATCCTAATATTTCGGTCTTTGTCGTTTCAAAAAAATATAATGTTAAAATCTCAAATAAATAGTCTGACACCAATATGTCACAGATTTAAAAACGATCTTCAGTTTTCGTGTTTGCAACATCTTCTGAAAACCTGACCTCTGACTTTAAGGTCAATCCAATCTAAGACTTCTAAGAAATGGTGTCAATTTAAAAATCCATACAAAAGCGGGTGGCCATGCCGCTCAGTCGTTTAAGGCTGAGCTATAACTGCAGAAAACAAGTTGTCCTATAGTTAACCCTTGAGGTAAGCCACATTTCTGTATAAATGGGTTTGATTTCTCTGACAACACATCGTTTTATGTCAGCGAGATATTCATTCAAACCAAGAAAAGAATAAATTAAGGGTATATTTAGGAAATAATTAGATTATCAAAGAGTTTAATTACTTTTCTTACAAGTGTAGCTTAACATCAAATGGTGGAATGTTAATAGAAGATAAAAGGACCCCATCAGCCTTTTACAGCTGAGGGGTGAAAAGCTAAACTCACCAAAGGTCCCATAGAAGCCTCTTGGACCACAAGTGCCCACACCATATTTCTTCAGTGATGCCAAAGCCTTTTGCTGTAATGAAAAATTAGCTTATAATTCTAAAATTAGAACAAATTCAAGTTTGAATAAAACTCATTGACTGAGGCATATTGTCAATGTCACACTGTGTTTGTGCATAATTCAAAGAATTATTGTTGCTAGCAATAATACAACTTAATAGTTGCTTCTGATAAAAACTGCACTGCCCACTGGGCAAGTCATTCACTGGGCACACCTAGCTGTGTGTGTGGCTGTTTTAAATGAGGGGTTTTCCCTTCAAAACATAAATGTTGCCTAGATAAAGATTTAGCTATAACAGTAAATGGATAATTTAGCACATTAGAGGAAGAACATATCGTACTGAAATTACAAGGTTGCCTTTCAATAATAAATACCGACCTTAACCCGCTCATTATCAAGGAGACCCAGGAAGTTGAACGATGCAAAGTTTATGCAGTCTTTTCCATTGATTGTGATTTTGTGGCTGGGAGGTCTGTAACAGAAATTTTGCATTTGAATCTTTATTTTATCATCTTACATACTCAAGGCACAAATCAGATATTTACAAAAATCGGATATTTTCATTTTCATCCAAGCTGTCAAGATGTAATTTAAGCTCGGATTGATTTTTTTTTTCCCCTTTTACTTTTTCTCGAGTATATGAAAAACATTATCATTTAGTTTGAGATCAAGTAAGTGACTCAGTCATTTACAAGTATTCAATTTTTGCCTGAATAAGCCCTTGGCCTGCTTTTGTGAAGGTCATTTAGCTGAATCTCAAATGCTACACCCTTCGTATTATCCTGCTACTATCAGCAGTCACACAGCAGTTTTAGATATTATATAGCAAAGACTAACCCGGGCTTCCTGTTCTCGAGCGTAAGCAGTGGTTTACACTTTGTTTTAAATCTTCATTTATTATAGTGACTTTTGATTATAGACTTTGGCAAAGATATGCTCTCTACATCGAGTATACTATTTGAATAGATAGTGTCATGTTTTTTCTTAACCAAGTAAAGACTTCTCCAATGATGCTCTTCATCTTCTGTGGTCTTTTAGACATTTTCGTCTGTCTGAGCTTGACCAGTTAACTCCTTGTTTGTATGAATGTGCTAAATAACTGATTTGGCCACTTTAAATTTTTGGATATCTACCTGATAGATTTATTTGGGGTTTTCAGCTTAGGCATCTCTTGATACAACTGCCTATTACTTACAATTTTTCCTTACTTCCCTGCCTGTTTTTATTGTCTTTTTGATATAGCCCTGTTAAAATCTTGTACCATTTCTGATGGGTATGTTTAGCAACTTAATTTTAGCCTCTTACACTTGCATAAGCTTTGGACTGCATATTCAAAGCACCTATGATCACCATGTGTGGAAAGGCAAAAAGTTAAAAACTATCTTTGTCCGACTGCTTGTGGACTTGCCTAGCAGATTACCCATAATTATATTAAAGAACTTTATTTTTCTTAAGAGTATCAATGAAAAATCTTTAAAAGTAATAGGGAGAGATGTTTCTCAAGATCCCAGAGCAACTGCCAAGACACTACTGAATCACTTAGCCAAGTCAAAAATTGTAGTCTTAAAAAAGGCAATCACTTGAACCCTGAACATAAATGGACTGTAGATCAAGAAAACCCCTGCTTCTGCAGAAGAAACATCTTCAAGCTAGACTGACACATGCTAAAGATAACCTGGAGAAAGGTTAATCACACTGGAAGTACATCCTCTGGTCAGATGACTAAGGTCTTTTCCAGAAGACCATAAAAGAGTTTGAGAGATCTGCCAAAAACAATGGGATGGGATTGCTTAGTAGATAAGTGCAGGACTGCTTGAAAACAAATGAAACTGTCACTAGGCTGTCATCCAGCTAAAAAGAAACAAAATTAACTATTAGCATTCTGGGTGGGATAATTCTGTTGGCAAATTAATGTAAGCATGCAAACTAAAACTAGTATATTTGGAAAAGTCATGCTAATCCTGGTTCAGAGGAAAAAAACGAATAATATTATTTTCACAGGGGGGCTAATATTTCTTTCGTCATCTGACTCTTATAGACATTTTGATTTAGTGAATATTTAAAACCTGTAAATAAAGCAGTGAGGTAACAGAGTGTTTACCCTGTGACAACATCATAGTTGAGGGTGGGATAGTCTTTGGAAACGGGAGGAACTAGCGCCTCTGGCTGCCATTCCTCAATCAGTTCCTCCTTTTCCTGTAATGTAGAATCATGTGAGAAGAGTTTGGTAACAAAAAATAATACTGTTTGATTTTCACCGCACAGTTTACCTTCTCTGTCAGTTTATACGTCTCATGAAGTTTGTAGGTCTTAGAGAATAGAAGCCTAATTATCCACAATATGAGGATTCCCTCCAAAATAAGGTGGTAAGCAGGAGCCTGAGGGGGGGAAAAAATACTTGTTTTTGAAACATGCTCCAAAAAATGCATTTTTAAACAGGAAAGAATTAAAATAAGTGGAAACATTTCAGAAACATTGCAAATGCCTGAATGAAATTTAAATGCAACATAAACAACTAAGCTGTAGAGAACTTAATACATCCATCAGATAGCTGTATAAAATCCCACCTCTAAATCTTTGAATTCCTGTTTTCAGTCGCATTGCCACAAGTGTACAAAAAGCAAGTGCCTAGCCAAGAAATGGGCCTTTTCAAATATTTACAAAAGAATGGGTTGCTCTAACGAGATTACTGAATTTGAGCATGGTACTGTAATATGATGTAGCAATTAAGTTTGTGAAATTTCTTGCCTCTGAGATATTCCATAACTAATTGTAATCGGTATTAGTGCAGAGTAGTAATGTTTATAATTCAAAGAAATTTAGCTGCGACGCTGCAGACCATGTAAAGTTCTAGAGCGGTAGTGCTAAGTGCTAAGGCACACCACTTGTAAAAGTTGAGCATTCCAAACCTCCTCTTAGCACATGAACTGTGCATCAGGAGCTTCATGGCATTTATTTCCACAGCCAAGCATCTCTTATAAATGTAGTTGGCCCAATCCTTTTTGATGTAGTAAAAGAGGACTTGTAAGGGGTACGTGTAACAGAGTAGGATGCTGACCAGGAGGATGAGGAAGAAGAGGAAGAACTGAAATGGCAGTAAAAACAAGTTCAGCACTGTTGAACACTCATGTCTTCAACCCAATCATGCTGGCTGCACCACCATGTTCAAGGTTACAAAAATTAAGAGGAACACAATCAGCTAAAACAACAGTGAGGTCCAAAGCATACTGCTGCATTTTTACTAGGGTTTCAACAAATAAAATAACTCTATTATAAAAAATCCTCAACACAAATGTTTTGCTCCGATGCTTCGTTTAATACATGGCACTGTAGTGTGCAGTTATTACCATGTAAACGCGAGCTTTTCACCCATGTTTGTGACTAAAAAAGACTTGCAATAGGAACATATCTAAGAACAAGCATATGAATACGTAGTATGAAGACATTAAGCCTACGCAGCCCCCAATTTTTCAACACAAAGACTTATAACACAACAGCAGCAGTGATAAAGTCAGGAAGAGTGAAATAAAACGTTTTTCTAGTGTTCAAAACAGCAGTGCTGCTCTTGTAATTGCCATTGAAACCTTTACTGGGAAAGGGTAGTGGTCCTTAATGAAAGCACCTGATCAACAAACTCTGACATGAAGAAAAGTGAAATTTGTAGCTTCTCCATCCACCACTGTTTGCTTTATACAGCAAGAAGCTACAGTAAAGCTGCAGAAATTATATTAAAATATGCAGATGAACTGTTAACTTAGTCTGACACATGTTTAAATTAGGCAGCCTGTTGAAGGCTGATGGCAGCCGTCCCACTTTCTATCGCAGTGATAACTGCAGCAAGCAGGGGGGAGTCAGTTGACAGTTGACAGTTAACAGCTGAAATGTCCTATGTCCAAAATTAATGTCTTATGTTGGACACTGAATTATTATTAACATTCTTTATTAACCTCATACACCATCATAACAGAAAATTAAAGATATGAAGATGTGACAAACTGAGGATACTTGCATGTCCAAGACAAGTCAACATTTTTCTAACTGCCTAGATTGGGAATAATAATAATAATGATGATGATGGATTGGATTTATATAGTGCTTTTCAAGGCACCCAAAGCGCTTTACAATGCCACTATTCATTCACTCTCACATTCAACACTGGTGGAGGCAAGACTACAGTTGTAGCCACAGCTGCCCTGGGGCAGACTGACAGAAGCGAGGCTGCCATATCGCGCCATCGGCCCCTCTGGCCAACACCAGTAGGCAGTAGGGTAAAGTGTCTTGCCCAAGGACACAACGACCAGGACAGAGAGCCCAGGGATCGAACCGGCGACCTTCCGGTTACAGATACGCTTCCCAACCCCCTGAGCCACTGGTGCCCTAATCTAGAGCCTAACTGAAAGAGGCAACAATTCACAAATACAGCCAATTTAAAATCAACAATTAATGTAGCTTGCATGAATGGACTGATTCTTATATAGTGCTTTTCTACTCTCTCTCTGAGAACTCAAAGTGCTTTATACAACATCCCACACTCACCCATTCACACAAGCACTTTCTTTTATGCTTTAAGTTCTTTCTATCTATAAGCATTCACACACTCAAAGTAACTTGGGGTTAATATTTGCCCAAGGATACTTGGCATGCAAACTGGGGCAACCTTCTGATTAGTAAGTGACCTGCTCTACCTCCTGAACTACAGCCACCCCACAGGACCATGCAAACCTCTGCAGAAAGGCCACAGCTGGCTCTCTTATTCAAATCCAGAGCCTTCCTCTGAAGTGATAGCACTAACCACTGTTCTACTTGTCATTGTTTAAAAAAATGTAACATGGACACTTGTGAATAGTTGAAGAGATCTCAAAGATAAAGTCTGCTCCTACTTCATTCCATCATGACAGTGCCCTACCAAATGACGGAAGAGACGCCCTGTACACACACAAGTAGCCGATCACTCTGATAAGTTTCCCCGATCACTAACCAAAAACGTGAAGGAAGACAGAAATCTACAGTCAGACCACAAGAGTAATTCTAACAATAATAATAACAACAACAATAATAATAATAATAATAATAATAATAAAACAGCCAATCATAGCAAAAGCTACAACACCTCCAAAAGTTGATTCTGTTCATCTGGACGTAGCGTTTTGTGAACAGAATCAACTTTTGGAGATTTACTTACCTGGATGATTGAGCATGCATCAAGACGTTAAAAAGCTACAACAGTTAGCCTGACATCGTCAGCATAGTTTGAAGCTCTTATCGTAGCAGCTCTATCGTACTATGTGCATTTAGAAACTTAACTCCAGCGCTGTAGCTCACCTAATGTGTAAGCAGTAGCTAGCTACTACATACTTCCTTGATGAGTTACTTCTTCGCTGAACAGCTACGGGCTAAGCCTTTCATCGGGTCGTAACGGAGAACTTTACAGTTAACAACCTGGGACAAATTTAACAGCACCAACGTATAGCCAAGCATAAGAAAAATCGAGTAAACGTCAGGGAATAATTCGGCCCAACAACTGAGGAAAAGAAACACTTACCTCATAAAACGCCTGGACCATTTCCACCAACACCCATTGCTGTCCGGTCGCCATGTTTGACTTCCTAAAACGTCACTCGCAATCACGCCACACCCCTATTACGTCACCCACCACTGCTACTGTCCTTATCTCACGATAATGACTTTATTTTTATATTTCTTAAAAAAAAATAAAATCAAATAATTAAACCACCCAAGTATAATTGCACAGCTTTTTATAATAATAATTTAAAAAAAACTCTTACTCTATGCAATACTGTACTAAATGCCACTTTAAATCTTGTACTGCTCTAAAAATTTGCACTGCTGCTCACTCTTGCCACTTTATCTCATGTGCAATCACGTTGTCCGACCCTACCTCAATACATGAATACTGAGGTAAGGTGGTCCATCAATACATTTCTATTTTCTTTTATTTCTTGGAACTGTAATTTTAGTGTTATATTGCATTATAATTTTAACTTGCAGTGCTATATTGTACTATGCTGCTGAGAGACTTGTCTTCTGCTCCTCTAACACATTTCATTGCAATGTTGACCCTGTGCTAACTTGCTTATGACAAATATAGCTGAAAACTGAAAACTAATATCAAAAAGGTGATTGAATGATTAAATTTAATTAAAATGAATAACTACATAAAGCATTAGTGTGATGAATGAATTTAATACTCGAAACTGACTGACTGTACTGAACCAAATTATCAAAGAACAAAAGTAAAATTTAGTAAATGCTGGTTTCTACAAGCAGTGCTTTGGCACAGGATTTGAAAAACAAAAACATTCCAAACAAACTAAATTTGGGTCAAAAACATGGGTCAGATTTGTTTTAGTCCAGACGCAGCAATGACACACAATATTATCTCTGTGATTGATTGTAGATACAAATTCGTGCAAAATGGCTCATGGCTAACAAAGTGTCCTTTATTTAGCCCAACAATTTTCTGTGGCAAAATACAAAGAAAACATACAAAGAGAAACTGCAGCATTATCAGAATGCACCATCAGAAGAACATCCCGTGAAAGACGCCAGCGAAAAATAGCTTTATTACAGGTGCTAGAGGTCTGCCTGAACTGACAGGAACAGGGGTGGCTCAAAATATTTATACCAGAAAGTGCTGCATAATCAGTCAACCAATCAAAAGGCTTGGCCAAGAACTCACCAACTTCAAGCTTCAAAAACCAACTGTGTGTGGAGCTGTGACATCTGGTGGAGAGCTTTGTTTTGCCACCAGTGCAGGCAGAGCCTTTTGGGGCACTGTTTTGAGACGGTGCAAAAACTAGCAAGTTAAACTAACTGTTGTAGTGGGCAAAGGAAGGAAATAGAATGACACTCAAATTTCAGTTGGTTCCAGATCACTGTCTTGAAAACTGAAAAGTTGATTTGTTTTTCATTTGTGTTTAATTTCAGCTTTTCTAGAGTCTGTCCTAATGACTTCTGTAGTCACATTTAACAACAACAAAAATAAAAATAGAATCAATAAAGGATAATCACACATCTTCTATTAAGAATTAAAATCACTCATTTACACTAAGGATAATTACAATAAAAATGGTCAATAAAACAATAAAAAAAATTTCAGAGCCAGTAAATTAACAGCATTCAAACTTTGCATTTCCATATGAACATCATTAAATCAACGTGAAATAATTAAAAATTGAATTTTCAACCAACCCTGTACTAGATTTACCTCAAATGTCTAAATGATTTTAAAGGTCACCCAATCATTGCTTAATCAGTCAGGGGAGAAAGCCTATATTTAATTCAGAAACAGGACTTCAGTCTAAAACAAGATTTAGACATTTGCTTATATTTTACAATCAAATCTCATTTTTATAATAAATACTACTGCTTATATCAGCTCTAGAGTTACAGAGAGCTGTAAACTTTATGCTGAAATTGATCTTAAACTGTACAAAAGTTAAAATGTCTGTTTTAAAATGCAAAAACTGGTTAGTATAGTACTGTAATTCTTCATATTAATAAAACAATACCTCACCATCTGGCTGCATGGCAAACTTAAAGTGCATTATAACACATAATTATCTAAGCTTATAAATGCTGTGTCTGAAATTGTAAGATGTTTTTGATTTGTTTTGCAGAAAAAAAAATCTTTTTTGCATGAATAAGAAAGTATTGTGAAAGTGGTTATCCTGCCTTTAACTGAGTATTTTATTTATTGGTAGGTAGTGCATTCCACTTTCAAGCCTTTAGATGCAGCGTGTCACTTTACCTTTGGTTTAATCACAGAAATGATTATTTATTTATTTATAATGTAAAAATATAAGTGTGATGGAGGTTCAGGGGGTAGTGCCAGGGAGGCTGGAGGTGGAGGTGGCAACAACTGGGAAGCTGCTGGGGCAGCAAAGTGAAAGGCACAGTTGTACATAAACGCACACAATGTGCAACGCTGAGTGTCTCGGGTCCTTTTGGTGTTTACAATAATTTTTTTAATTTATAAAGCTATAATATCATTTTTCATTGGTATTTGATTTAAGCTGTGCCTACATTTATTGTATGCATCCTGGGTAACTGAGAATGAGGTTCTGTCTTAGTGCATCTTCCTAGGTTTTGATTGAGTAAAATGATGGCAGTGAAGCTGCTGAATTATGATACTCTAAAATTAATGAAAGCAACATTATATTTAGACTTGAGACTGGAAATAAGACAGCTGAGCAGGACTTATTTCTAGAACAGAAGCATACAAGAAATGTGGACAGACGGTAACTACACGGGCTCAGCTTCAGCTTCTGCACGAGCCTATTTCTAAACTGCAGTGGGAGATTAAGGTAGATTAGTTTACCGTAGATCAATACAGCAGTACCAAATCGCTCACCTAAACATACATACAGATTGTTTAGCGCAGCACACCATGCTGCTCAATGAGAACTTATGGAGAGAAACAACAAATTATCTAATTCACTGACTCACTGAGTTGTAGGCAGCATAATTGTTGTAGGCGACAATTATGCTACAGACTCAAACTTGTAGCAAAGTAAAATATCACTCTATGAATAACTTCCAGCATTTACAAATCTCACTTACCATATCAATAATTTCTGTTGATTTCATTTTCTGATAGTACTTTTTAAATTGCCAAGTATTTTGAATTATGCAACTTGTTCTTTGGGTCATTTAATTAATTCCTCAACTTACCCAGATTAGCAAGTAGTTAATTTATATCCGGGTATAAAAAGGAGACTAGTAGAGAGTGATGCATAACTGTACAAATAACAATCAGCTACATTTAGCTATTACATATCACAAATATTTATTTTTCTCATTTTTTCCAATTTTCCAGCTGGTTTGGAATAAAGTAAAAAAGCAGATAGTTGGCCTTGCTTCTGCACTAAATTGGGTGCAGATCTGTTCTATCTCCTTTTGGTGTCTTCAACATTGGTCTATCTCCTGCTGGTTAAGCTGTGTCTAGTACCATTTTATTGGTTAGAGTACACTCAGTTTTAGAGACATGACTGCCTTGGGCCCCACAGTGCATAGCTATCTGCGTTTAAGCAGAACAGAAAGTAGAGGAGTCCTGGAAAGTTGAAGTATCAGGATGAAGTTCTGTTATAGCCTACCTCTATGTGTTTCTCAAGCCACATCTCTGCTAACTGCACAGCTGATGCAAATGCACTTGCTCTTGACCCAAGACACATTTTATATTGCTTCTGTTCAAGGCTTGAATTGCAATTGATAGGATGATAAACGTGGACAATTCCTGGTTCTTGACTGCGTAAAACCTTTAAACCAGAATTAATAACCTTGGTGTAGAAGTCTACATCTTCCAACCCCCAGCCTAGGATGGATGTATCAAAACCTCCAGCTTTTAGTAAATCGCTCTTAAAAACACAGGTGGTTCCAAAGCCATAATCACGCCAAAAGCCACTTTTCTTGGTGAGCACAAAGTTGTTTTCACTTGGGGCTTTTTCACCGTACACAATCTTAGGGCTGTATTGGCTAAAGATAACAGGAAAATAGACCTGTCTCCCTTGAATAGCATTATCTCTGCAGCGCTGCAGAGCATCACCACTAAAGATTAGATCTACATCACAGAGGAACAGTAAAGTGTCATTATCAAGCTGTGACGAACCCAGCTCTAGAGCCAGCCCTCGTGAAAAATTTCCTGTCATGGGGATTACAGACATATCAGCTTTAGGATACTTTCTCTTATAGTCCATTATTAAATGAATATGCTTTTTTATATTCTTATTGTTTACATTGTCCACCAAAATGATGCAAAGCTGAACATTTTGTTTAGGTATCAAACACACTTTCTCAAAGTTCTCCATAAACCGAATAAAAGTGCCATAGCGACCAGACAGTGGGACAAGAATGCTGATCTTTTTCTGGCTTTGCTCCCACATTTCTCTTGTTGACTCATAGAACTGGAAAGGTGACAAGAACTTCAGAGAGTTGGATAGGAATGACAGGGATTGGGATTCAGAGTTGATGGCAGCCATAAGTTCTGAAACATTTAGATCTTCAGCTTCACTAAAGAAAGGTCGGCTGAAGGACTGTTGAAGGTAAGCATGCCGCCTCACAGGCAGAGTTATTTTACGTCCCTTGTGTTTTTTGTACAGAAGCAACAAGTCTAAGACGTATTCTGCACCATGTATTGGATCCACCCTGTAGTAGCCATACTGAATCTCTTTAAAGTCAATTACATGGCCACGTGTCTTTGAATTTTCATTAATCATTTCCATGACCTCTAGTATAATATTGTCTTCAAGGGCAGTCCGAAGCAATTTTCCAAGGCTTTGCCTAGCCATCTTGTTTTCAATGGCAGAATAAATATGTTGGCCTGTCAGGAAATCCCACTCAGTGACATCATTTCTCTCACTGGGCACATAGCGCATGTAGGAAGGTGGAGACCCCAGCTGTTGGTCCTCCCACAGTATTTCTGTATCACTAAGATAACTCATATGTAGGCCTTCACGATGGAGTAGGATCGTGCGGTAACGGAGCCTTGAGATCTCACAGCTGAGCATGTAGTTGTGGAGCCGGTACTGGTAGGCAGGACTTTTGTTGGGATGGAGCGTAATGGCATTGTGGATCTTGCGACTGTGAAGTTCTTCAATGAAGCCTTTTTTGTTGTGTTCATAGTTTTCATAGAACAGTTGCTGCATCTACGGAAAGAATTTAAAAGTAATAAGAGTATGGATGTCCAAGCATCAATACACACAACATTGTTGATTAGAGCTGGATGATATATATCATTAGCAATTCAAATTTGTTAAACAACAAGACAATTATTTTTCTTTCACGAAACAAAATACATTCCATGTCCTAATTGCTTGCTGGCCTTGGTAGCTGGGTATTGGTCTGCCAGGGTCTCCGTCCTGGCTGCCATCCAGCACTCATTGCACCTGACGCCTATGGTGCCTCATGCGGGAAGCGGCCTCGGAAGGGGGGCCTATGTCCCTTTTTCAGGCTGGGCCCAGCTGGGCTCCATGGACTAAAGCCGGGCCCTCGGGCACCCTCTTCGGTCCCAATCTCTAGTGTGGGGATCCAGCAACCCTATCCCGGGCAGGATGAACAGTTCCCTCAATCCTCTGCACATAGGGGTTTTTGAATTGCTCTTTGTCTGTTCCCTCAACCAGACCTAATTTGCCATAGGAGACCCTACCAGGGCAACACAGCCCCTGGTATCCCTGGGACACACAAACCACTCCACTACGATAAGGTACCATTTCACAGAGGGACAGTACAGTTGGGTGACCTCCAAGAAAATATCAATTAATATCTGTGATATCTGTGAATATATAGGAAAATACTGACTGGAAGTATCACTCATAGATTTTAGAAGTCTGACAAAAAAGAAATAATCCAATATGCTAAGAACAGGGGTGGATCTACATGGGGGTGTGAGGGGCACACTGCCCCTCTGCTGTAGAGGCCCACCACAACTTTTATGTCTTTAAAATACTTGTAAAAACGAATAGTCTAAACCTACCTACTCAAAAAATGTCTTTGTTTTCTTAGAAGAATGATATAGCAAATAGTTTTAAAGTGTTTTTGTGGATATTTTCTTGACTCCATGTACATATAGGGGATTTTCACATACCCCACTGAAGAAGTGTGTGCCACCCTGCCTACACCTCTGCCCGTCCTTTGCCTCCCCATGTGAAGTTTTCTCGATCTGCCACATGCTAATGACCTGAAACACAATCTCTCACACATACACACACGCAGATTCAAGTCTTACCTCATAAGACCATACACACTGTGTGCCTCCAAAGCGTCGTACACAACGCCCTACTTCCACATCCTCATGGGTGGTGTACATCTCCCTTAGACAGGTACTGATGTGAGGGACCATCCTGCGTAACACCTCTCTACTAAAGATCATCCCAGGACCTCCCATGCAAAAGTTTTCTCCGGGTTCTAGAGCCAGTCGTCCTAATTCTTCAGCTGTGCCCAGCCCTGTCTGGCCAAGGTAATGGGGCTGACTGCTGTTGAGTGACCGCAAGAACAATTCCAGCTTCCCACCTAGCAGAAAGTGAGTTGTAAGAAATAACTGTTATCAAAAATGGTAAAATGTATGTATTCTAGACGCGTATGTGTTAAGTCTTTATCTTACTTATCTCTCAAGATAAAGACTCAAAGTATGTGAGCATGTAACCCACTGTTTTTTTTTCTTATTAAAACACTCTTTTTACACTTTGTAGCTGAATGAAAAATATTAACAACTTAGCAACTTGTACAATCGTAGCTTTGGTTGCCTAAAATGAGACTACATTAATTTATCTCAGTAATTTAAAAGAGATGTTGTTTTCACTAAAGCGACACAATATTGCATAATGCATAGCATGTTCCATTTTTCTGTGACAAATAAACAAATTGCACTGGCATCAAATTCACTCCCAAAATAAGCACCTCTTATATAAACATCATCATCTGCCCGCATGAACCACTCGAATTTATCCAGGTAATGGTCATGGATGTACTTTAGCATCATGAATGATTTCTTCTGTGGTGGATAGGAATCATCAACACCTGCCAGTGAAACCACAGGGAGGGGAGCAGGCGCGTGGACGGTCCCAGACCCAGCGCTCGAGAAGAACTCCACCTTCCCGGGTATAGAAGCCGCCCATGTCTCATACGCAGCCCGTGCTCGAGACGTCAGGTATTTTTTGGCTGTCATCACGCCAACATAAATGAAACGCTTTGGTTTGCTTTGGGTTCTGCCTAAATGTCCACTGCTGTTCTTCGTACTGAATAACCTGTTCTCCTGCGGACTGTCCACATCTTTGACTGACACGGACTTCCCGTGGATGTCAGCACCTATAGCAACGGCGGAGTCACTGTAGTACAAACACATGGCAGATCTTTTCCTTTTACTTTCCAGAACCTGAGGTAAAATGAGCCAAGAGGACGCTGTGAATCCGAGAAAGACGCCGAAGATCACGGTCGTCCACGATCTTCTGGACTTAACAGCCATTTTCGTATCCTACGAAGAGTACAGTTCTGCGGTTAACGGGGACCAAATGTATGATTGCTGACGCTGTAAGGGTGGTGCTAATCTGTGAAGCATGCTATCCCTATGGAGCAGGAAGTTTCCGTTTTAGTAGCATAAGTCACGGAGCGGGGCATTTCCTCCACAACATTAAGAAACATGTTAGCCTGTCCCCAGCCGTCCCATGACGTCTGTACTGAATATTTGTATTTTAGTTTCTTTGGGGGTTAAATGATTTTGTCCTCATCTGGGACCGCTATCTTGTCGTCCGTCAACAAAAACAAATCGACTTCCAGTCGTATTTCCTTTTCAGAATAAAAGCAAATGTCCATAAACTTGCAGCAATAGTTTTCTCGTTTGTTTGTTTTAATAAAAACCAACTGATTAACCACGACATGCAAATTACAACGGTGTATAAAACCTTCAAAAATTAACATTGGTCTAAGGAGTAACAAATATAACAAAATGTCAATACTTTTGTTTTGAAAGTATCATTTTCTCTAACAACTTTTAAAATGATTGCCAATACAAAATAAAAGCTTTATCACCGTAGACTGACGAATCATACAAATATATATATATTTTCTCTGGTATTTGACGTGCATGAGCATTATAAGACCTTACCACGCCACAATTTTATAACCATCTCTTCACAATAAACCCGCAATATTCCAGTTGGTTAGGCTGAAAAATAAACGCATTATCAGCTGTGCTATCGCGCAGTCCGTTTCATTCGTGCGGAACTGGTCGGTTAAATTGAATGGAATGGTCGGGGCGCAGGGATCTGGTCTCATTTCAGCGGATCTGGGCTAAAGCAGATCGGTTAAATGGAAGAGTCGCGTCATCTCCGTTTACTCCAATGGACCTTTTTTCCTTTCTTTCTTTGTTTCTTTCTTTAAACTGCAATTGCGGATTATGGAGCCTCGTAATAGTCCCGGTGTTCCAGGTGGTTCCAACTGGTTTTTATATTAACTGGTTAGATTCGTTTACATATTCCACTCTCAGTGTTTCAGATGTTGGATCCGCAGATTCGTCATTTTTACTGAATGGGCTTCTGTCTGTCAGTGTCTCATGCGGTTTGTCAAGATTCATTCCTTTTAAATTCCGTTTGACATTTTTAAATTAGATCAGTCAGTCTGAGGGCAAACACAAGCTGCTGTAGCTCTGCTCTGAGGAACAAGCTACATTTGCTGATTTTGTGCAGAATTTTGCCATAACATCACGTTATATAGAGTAGCAGCTGCCCACGTAATATTTTTACATCACCAAGTAACGTTTGCGTGTTTCCTGAGTCAGTCAACTCGAGGGACGAAAAAAAAATGTTGGCTCGTTTTTTATGTTATAGAAAGACAGAGGTAGGAGACAGAGCAGAAGACTTTTTGATTAAAAAATAATAATAATAATTTCATTGTTGCCTGAAGATAATATTTGCATGAGCTGGAGACCTCTTGTCAAATCGCATGACACACTAACAGAGAGAGAGACAGAGAGAGAAGACCAGGATCAAACATCTGGAACTCAGAGCATGGAATATGTAAACAAATCCAACCAGTTAACCTGGAACACCGGATAGGTTTTCTGTATTTAATCTATCACAACACCTGTGGCTCTCACAGATTTAAATATATTAATCTTTCCACATCAAAAGGAGCCAGTTGAGGTGGTTCGGGCATCTGACAAGGATGCCCCCTGGGCACCTCCTGGGCGAGGTTTTCCAGACCCAGGACACGCTGGAGAGATTATATCTCTCAGCTGGCCTGGGAACGCCAGGGAGGGAGGTCTGGGCTTCTCTGCTTGGGCTGGTGCCCCCGCGACCCGGCCCCGGATAAGCGGAAGAAAATGGATGGATGGATAATCTTCCTTACTGTATTGGATTGATGAACAAAAATATAATTATTAAAATATAGTCACTTTATTTTCCACTCAGATTATGCGATGTTGATTAAAGTTTTTGTGTTTTGTTAAGAAAAGCCCAGCACTATGCCTTCCCATAGCTTTTTCTGTCAAGCTATTGACAATCTACAGAACCAATGCAGATGGAGAAAATGATTATACATGTTCAGTTGTAGAATCAAATCTGTTAAGCATACCAAAACAAACAAAAAGAAGTGTTTAATTTTTGTTTCTTCTTATAGATCTTCTTATATTTATTTTATTTCCACAGGTACAAGTGAATTATGAAAAAAAAACACTGAAAGTCTGTTGAATGTAGAGTCCATTGTTTTTGAGGTTATTTAAAAGACAAAAGAATGCTGTACTCATAAATATACATAGATTAAATGGTAAGTAGACTGTTTCTCATATAGGGCTTTGCTACTCTCCCAGAGCACTCAGAGCGCTTTATACAGGATGTCACATTCACAGAAGCACATTCTTCTATGCTTTTAAGTGTTTTCGAGCTAACATTCACACCCCGAAAGATACATCAGAGTGCAACTTTGGCTTAGTATCTTGCATGTCCCAAGGATAGTTGGCATGCAGCCATGGATCAAACCACCAACCTTCCTATCAGTAGATGTCCTGTTCTACCACCTGAGCTACAACCACCACAGATCAGCATGCAATTACATCTTCCAAGAAAATGATGCGCCTTCATAAACTTTGAATTAATCCATTAAAAATACATAGCAATGTGGAAGCCGCCACATTGCCCTGCAGTTCTGAATAGAGTGGAGGAGATGAAATCACTCTGCATATGTAGCACACAGAACTTTTGTTGCTGTTACTTGTTGTTAGGAGATTAGACCCTACAATCTCTGGACAGTTGAAAATGAGTCAGAAAAACACATGGATATATTTTTTGTCATTATATTTTCTGGTCATTTAGATATTTCACAGTAGTTTTTCGAGGTCCTAGCACACAGGGAGATGTTGATGTTTGTTTGAAAGACAGCATGGAATTTAAATCGTACTGTAAGTTTGAAGAAAAAGAGTCACAGGATAGTTTTTTTTCTGGAAAAGAGAAACACTATTCATCT